GAAAAGAAAGAAGAAAAGAAAGAAGAAAAGAAGGAAGAAAAGAAAGACTATAAACCAGAAAAAAACGAGGATGGAAAAGGGGAGGAAGGTAAATTAAAAAGGAAAGTAATAAAATAATAATGTGAGTCAACACAGTTTAAAATATTTACTTGAAATTGTGTTTTACATAGAAACAAAGCTTGAAATTATAACTCAAATCTAAAAAGGTTGGGCCAGTGTATAAAAGATAAATAAAAAGTCAATCTATCCCATCTCACCTGCTGACGTAATTAACTCCTTCAAAGAGGTCTCAGGTGTTATGGTGGTCTCTCATTATTCTCCTTCTTCGTAGTCTCTCAGTTTGTGAGGACGGCCTGCTCTTGGTAGATTTATACATGTTCTGCAGTCCTAATTCTTTATGATGGACCTCCAGCACTCCTGGAGGTGTTTAGGGTCTTATAAATCCTTTGTATCCATTCCCTGACTTGCACTGTTTAATAATCTTAACCAGGTACCAACCTGAGGTTGCAGGGCACAATCAGCCAGGTTTCTATCTGCGTAGAAGGGAAAGACAGGGAGAAAGAAAAAAAAATCGAGCCTTGACAGGCCAGATGGTAAATGCCAGTTTAAAATTTGATACATTTACGCTGTTCCATTGTGAATCAAATGTGGATTTGTGAGATGGGTTTCTTCAGTTTTATATAGTGGCAGACTGGGGTGGTGTTCTGGTCCTCTATGCGACCCTGAAGGGGACTGTCAGTCTTGACAGTTCATCCAGAGCCTTCAGTAACTTGGGGGAAATCTCATCCGCTTCTGGCTCCCTGTGTTTGGGAGATGTTTAGCTACATCAGTAACCCTGCCCAGGTTAGAAACCCAGTTTGTACCAGCAGTTCTCCACAGCCTGAGACAAGAGCCAATTTCTTTTTCTGAGACAACAAATGGTTTTCCAAAACCTCATTCACCAAAAATTCTTCTGCATGTCCTTTTTGCTTCCATGAGCACAGGAGTTGCAATCCTTTTGGTCACCCTCTAATTGTTACTTCAGGTGTCCTCTGGGAAGGCCAAAAGGTCTTTTCCATCAGCTTAGCCACCTCTGTTACTGCTACTGCCCACCAACAACTTTTAGTTGCCACAGCAACAGACATCAATGGCCTTTTGGTCATGGCTTGGTCTGTGTCTGCAGCTTCCTCCAGGATACTTAAAAAAAAAACTGTCCTGGGAGTGTGAATTGAACATGTGCCTCTGCCAGTTATTCATGGTTTACCATCACTAATTGTTTTGGTTTGCCAGTTCTAACTGACAACCTCTCCTGCCACCTGATCCAACTCACCTGCAGGTGGGGCTCCTCTTTCAACCCAAATGTCCAAGGTCTGAACAAGGGGCTGATAGTATGATTACACAATCGATCAGTCACCTTGGATACATGGTGGCATGGTACCAAGTATACTTATGGACCACCCTATGCTGTTTGTCAAGAACAGCCAAGCTCTGAAGTCCAACAACAACTCAGATTCAGATCAGGGAGGCCGTTCCTTCCTACACTCACAACTCAGCCATTGCCCACATGGCCCTTGGTCACCCAAAAGAACAAGAGAGTCCTCAGATGGCATCCATTCTATGACACCATCCACAGATTTCAAGAAGAACGGGTAATCTGAACTACTGTTTTGGTACATAAGCACAAACAACAGTCAGAAATTTCCTGTGTTCAGCTTGGATCATCAGCGAGATGATCCTTTCCTTTAGAGGACTCCACTTGTGAGTATTCCCACACCGGCCTGACCCCTCTTTCCCTGGGCAACTCCAGGGTAGGAAAGAGTCCAGCTCCACTTCAGGAGTTGGTTCGGGTCATGTTTGTAATGAGAAATGATTCTCAAGCATTTCACCTGGTAAAATAAATTAAAAGTTGGATTTCTGACCTCAGCTGTACAAGAATGTATAGACAAGAGCCCAAGCTTACCGTTGAGCTCTGGCTCTCTTCCACCAGCAAGGTGACGTTCCACATATCAAGAGTCCCTTTAAGATGTCAGGAGTCACCACCCCTAAGGTCCTGCACTCACCTGCCAACTGGACCACACAGAACCTGACTCTTTTTCCGAGAGGCTTTGGACACTTATGAGGAGGTAGCTTTATATAATTTATTTGGGGTCGTCTCAGCTGAACCCCAAAGACCAAGTTTCAACCACCATATGTTCTGAGTGATGGAACCTGCTTTCTGTGATTCTTCTTAATTGAAGTCTTTGAACTTCTCTTAGTCTGACCCCTTCCTTGAAGCCAGTTTACCATGTTAGACTCTACCAGGGGCTAACTTACAAAACAACACAAACCCCAGAATCATTGCAGTACTCATACTCATACCTACTACTCATACTCATGCACTCATACCCCTGCCCCATTTAAAAATGCTCTTTCATCAAGTGTGTATACATCAGAAGTTGATATCAGGCAAATTGTGAGTCTATTTATGGGTTCCATTAAACTAAGTTTAATAATGATGAAACTTTTGTCAGGATAAGTGAAAATCTAAGAACAATTAAACATTTATATTCAAATTTCTACAGCTGAAATGTTTAAAATATTAAAAATGTTTTTTTTGTTGTTGTTCATTCAGTCATTTTCAAAAAGGAGACAGAAGATAAACTTAAAAAGGAAGAGACAAACAAAGAAGATGAAGGCTTTGAAAAGAAAGGTAAAACCTGTAGAAGCAAACATGGATCTTGGATGAGTCATGTTTTCTTTCATGGATGATTTTCAGCAGCAGTGGTAAAATCTGAGCTAATACAAATGCATCACGAGTGGTCAGTCAAGACTCCACTATCTACCAATCAGATCTCAGCTCAGTGCTTTGATGGTAGTTGGTAGTCTTGACCCCTGACCTATTGTTATCATGGTTACACAACTTGCTTTGTGTCTCAAGCAACCCAGAAGATTCTGATTCCAGGAGGATCAAAGCTCAGTCAGCTGTCCAAGATCATTTACGTCAACTTCCAGGGTAAGGCTGATGTACAGTAGCTGAGTTTCCATTAGTACCCGTATCAGTACACATCCCACCACCGCAGCAGGTTTCTCCCGCTGCCCAAATAAACCTATCCTACCCTTTCAAAGGACCCTCATCAGACTCCTCCCATTATAGTTAAAACCCTTTACTTTGCCTGTTACACATACCATCATCCATCCATCCATTATCTTTACCCGCTTATTCCATTTTTGGGTCACGGGGGTCACCGGTGCCCATGTTCAGCAATCACTGTGCGAAGGGCGGGGTACACCCTGGACGGGTCGCAAGTCCATCACAGGGACACATAGAGACACTGTTACACATACAAGTAGCTGAAATAGCAGAAAAGGCTGAAACTAGCTGAAAAAAGCAGAAAGGAGCATAAGTTGAAATTAACAGAAAGAAGTTAATTAGGCTAAAAGTAGCAGGAATTACCAAGAAAAACTTGATTTTATCTGAAAACAGCTGAAATTAGTTAAAATTTCTAAAAATGCAAGCTGAAAAAGGTAGAACAAGCTTAAATTAGCAGAAGAAAGCAGAAAGAACACGTTGGCCCAATTGAAAGAAGCTGAAAGAAGCACAAATGAGCACAAAAACTAGAAACTATCCGACAAAAAGCTGAAATTAGTAACAAAACAAAACAAAAAAACAGCTGAAAAGCAGTTGAAAAAGCAAAAAGAAGCTGAAATTACAAAAATGAAGTGGAGAGAGCATGTTTTTGCTGAATTAGGCTGGAAACTGTTCAAATGAGTATAAAAAATGTGGAATTAGCTGAAAAGCTAAAATTAGCATAATCACTGATATAAAATAGTAGTAGCTGAAATAGCAGAAAAAGCTGAAATGCGGAAATAAGCTGCAAGGAGAAAAACAAGCTCACACAATAGCTGAAAATAGCTGAAAACAGTTTAAATTTGCAGCAGGAAGCTGAAAGAAGCTGAAGCAGAACAAAATGTGAAAGGTTGTAAACAGTTTTAAAGATCTGAAGGATGTAAAATGAGTTCAATTCATTTTCTAGGAGAAAAAAATGGCAGAAAAGACTAAAATTTTCAAAAAGCTGAAGTTGCACCAAAATCAAAAGTCACAGCAGGATTGTCCTGAAAGAGCTGAACATTTTTGATTTATGATTTGTTGAAATAGCACAAAAATTATAGAATGAGACAGATGCTGAAAAACGTACATAATAAAAATGGATCACAATATTGTGAATGCTTCATAAATACTCACATAATTATTTCTGATCCAGACACATACATGTTGCAGTTTCTCCACCTAAAGCTTAGGGAGGGCCAACAAATCCAAAGTTGTGACAGAAAGAGAAATATTAGTAATGACCAGCCTGGTCTGCAGGTTCAAATCAAATCTTTGTCACCCATGATGTTTAGTGTCTGCATGTCGTGGGCGTGTCCGTCTCAGTGTGTGGGGCCTCAAATCAATGTTTCAAGTGAGTTTTGTGTTTTAACCGTGCCTGTTTCCGTCAGACTGTGAGTGCAACGGTCACTCCAACCGCTGCAGCTACATTGACTTCATCAACGCTGTCACATGTGTGAGCTGCAAACACAACACGAGAGGTCAGAAGTGTCAGTACTGTCGCTTGGGTTACTATAAAAATGCCTCGCTGCCTCTGGACCATGAAAACATCTGTGTGGGTCAGTGCATCGCGGTCAAAACACCAACACACTAATGTGCAGTTCAGACCCGTCCATACAAAATAATGATGTTCACTCATCATGTCTGTGATAATGCTGCTTCTAATAAATCTGATGATAACGATAACACGGTTATCAATAATTCTAATAAATAATAATAATACTGATGAATCTGCGTTTCAGAGTGCGACTGCAACGCAGACGGCAGCTCGTCTCCTCACTGTTCAGATTCTGGTCTCTGTCCCTGTAAAGCTGGAGCCACGGGGAGGCGCTGTAACTCCTGCCTTCCTGGATACACCTGGAGAGGAGGCGGAGCTCCATGCACAGGTAAGCTCCACGGTGATGGAGAAGCCAGAGCTTTCTGAACAACTTAACCAATACCAGCAGTTGTGTTGAAATGGTTCTGCCTTTTGATGATTCCTGTGTGTAACGGAGACAAAGGTGCTGCCGTGGAGCGCCCCTGTTTCTTTAGGTGATGATCTCATTTATGTCAATTTGGAGCTCACTGCAGAAAATTATTGTTGGCTTGAACTAAATACGGCCTAAAAATAAAAGTTTTGTAATTTTTTATATCACATTTAAGAAAATCATGGTGTTTTGCTACAGGTGAAAGTGCCTCCTGAAGAAGTTGAAATCAATCTGGGGATTCAAACACGTCTCCTGCATGAAAACACAGATCACCAACTAAACATGTACTGATGGCACTGTCCCTGCCTGACTGAATAGAGATCTAGTGGATTAATAGAAAGACCAAATATACTTACAAAGAATGAGAAAACAAAAAAAATCTGAAAATGTTTATGCAGCTGATGTCAGCAAAGGTCTGGAGACAAGACAAAGTCTGATTCAGAACACTCGTACAGACAGACAAGGAGAGAGAGGTTCTTCACCTGGACATGGATTACCAAGGCCCCTTCCTGGAGCCAGTCATGGGGGAGTGGCTTATTTGCAAGAACCTGGTGAACCCACGGGGCTCAGTCCATCTCAGCCCAAATGAGTAACATGGGTTTGTCTTCCAGTGGGCCCACCATCTGTAGAAGGGGTCATACAAGCCAAGTGCATAGAGCCATGGGGGGTAGCCAAAGGTGGGAGCCTTGGCACTCTGACCTTGGCTTATCAAAGCTGGTGCTTGGAACATGGAATGTGACCTCTCCTGTGGGGAAGGAACCTGAGGAGGTAGTTCTCCATCAGTATGAGATTGGAGGCTCATTTCTTCGGGGCATTCAGTACCAAGAAAAGTGGTGCGAGAGTTTGGTTCAAAATGCCAGAAGTAAGTCGGACCCCTTCAGGGTGGGAGCTGAACTCCACCAGGGCTTCCCGTTGTCACTGATTCTGTTCATAACATTTATGGACAGAATTTCTTGGTGCAGCCAGGGAGTGGAGAGAGGTGGCTTCAGGAGTTCGTCTCTGCTGTTTGCAGATGATGTGGTCCTGTTGGTATCATTGTGCCGTGATCTCCAGCTCTCACTGGACTGGTATGAAGTTGAGTGTGAAACAGCTGGGTTGAGGATCAGCACCTCAAAATCTGAGACCATGGTTCTCTGTTGACAAAGGGGGCAGTGTCCTCTCCAGGTTCGGAATGAGGCTCAGCCTCAACTAGAGTTCATGTATCTGTGGTTTTGTTCACAGTGAGCGAAGAATGGAGCATGAGATCAATAGAGGGATTGGTGCAGTTTCCGCAGTATTGTGGACTCCTTGCCTGTCAGTTGTGGTGAGGACAGAGCTGAGCTGCAAGAGAAGTTCTCCATTACCAGTTGGTCTACATTACCCTCACCTCCAGTCATGAAAGCTGGGGAGTGACCGAAAGAATAAGATCGTGGATACAGGCGGTCTAAATGAATTTCCTCTGCAGGGTATCTGGATTCTCCTTTAGAGATAGGCTGAGAAGTTCAGATATCAGGAGAGACTCTGAGTAGAACCACTGCTCCTCCACATCCAGAGGAGCCAGTTCAGGTGGTTCAGTTCAGGCATCTGATAAGGATGTCCCTGGATGCCTCCTTAGGGAGGTGCTCCAACTGACAGGAGACCCAAGGGAAGACCCAGAACATGTTGGAGAGACTGTCTCTTGGCTGGCTTTGGAACATCTTGGAGTCCTCCCAGAAGAGCTGGAAGAGGTGGCTGTGGAAAGAGAGGTCTGGACCTCCCTGCTCAAGCTGCAGCCCCAGAGACCAGCCTAGAACAAGCAGAAGATGATGGATGGATTCATGTACTTAGGGTCTAAAGTTGGGAAAGAGATAAGGAAGATTAAAAATAGTTTTTAGTTAAAAACAATATAATTTCCAGCTGTTAAACAGTTTTTATCTTCTTTGCTACTATTGTTCTAGTTTTTCAGAAGACCTTTCCACGTGGCACATCCTCTCAAGAATCCACACTTTTAGCATGGAATTAGGCTCCTTCTGAAGCCTTGACCTCCCTTGAAACAATTCAACATGAGTGTGATGTAATCATGTAACAAGACCTTGTGGGCAGTGGTCACATGATTTGAGCATGCTGACATACTGCTCGAAACAGTGTCGAGTGCAACATCAGTCACCAGATTATACTAACAAACATCAACACAATCAATAACAATATTGGTTATACTTGTCACTCTTTGGGTTTCAAGGCCCTTGAATCACATGTAAAAACTGGAAAACTTGTAATATAAAATATTTTCAAGTTTCCATATCTACAGATCAAGGATTGAGATTTAAATCAGTGACCCCTGTAAGTTTATGGCAACCATTCGATTGGACTGAAAGAATCTTTCTGGTGTTTGGGGTGAGTCTTTAGGATTAGGACTAGAGGTTTGCAGATAAGCAGCAGTCTTAAACCAAAACAAACTGGTTCGACCACAAAGGTGACGTGAACTCTGCGCCAGTTTACAACAATGCTCCCAGTTTCTGCACAGTACAGATGTTTCTCATTACAAATGAGTGGCTGAAGCTTTTCCGATGAAGAATCTCAATCCAGATGATGCATTACGCCGCCTTAATAACCATCAATCATCTTCCTTCCTCAGAGAAAGTGTGCGACGCAGAGGAATTAATTTGTCAGAATGGTGGGACCTGCGTGAACTTCCAGCGTTGCAACTGTCCCGCTACCTTCACAGGTAAACTCACACTTGAAGAATGTACGGCTCAGGTAAAGTGGGCGGGGTGACAGGAGCTCTGGTGACATGAGATGTTTGTGTCCAGGTCAGCTCTGTGAGCAAAGCATCTGTCTGAAGACAGGTGGCTGCAAAGAAAACTCTGAGAGCTCATCCTCTTTGGTGACATCACACCTTTACCTGCTGTCCCTCAGTCTGATCACCTCCACCTTCAGCTGACTACACCCTCATCACAAGCCGCGCCTTCCTATGACATCACGCATTTTCCAGCTGTCTAATCTCCGCCTTCTGTTGACCACGCCCTTATTCTACAAGCCACGCCTTCCAGTGACGTCACACCGGTACCTGCTGTCCCTCAGTCTGATCACCTCCACCTTCAGCTGCTGACAACAAATATGTATTTCTTTAGGGAATGCTAAAGAGTTTTGGAATAAATTATTACAAAACGAACGCTGATTCAAACTTTTGCACAGTACTCTGTTCATTTTTTATATTTAATAAATCTGAGGAGCATTTTTATTTTGAGAATATCCATTTTTATAAAGAACATTCTGAAAATAAAGTTGATTTTTAAAAAAACATTAATATCTACAATAAGAAAAACAGTTATGGCACATTTAGGCATATTTAAGGCTACTTTACAAAATAAAGATAAAGGTAGACTCAGTAAAAATGTTAAAAATATATTAAAAAGATATTTCAAACACAATTCTCTTAAGTCGTGATGTTGCAATTAAAAACGTACATATTCATATATTCATTTGTCCATTCTGTTATTTGTTCCTGTTATGTTTTTATGTGTTTTAAACCCATTTACAGGCAGGACTCAGAGAACACGGGACTTAGAATTGTATTTATTATATACAAAAGCAAAAGTTGACGTGCATGTGCAGCCAACTTACATGAACACAGGAGGACGCAGGATGTGAACAGGATACAATTCCCAGACAAGGAAGAACGTGAGGACGCACACTTCTGTACAGATGTTAACGTGAGGATAAACACAAACACCTGAGAGACACAACAGGGAGGAGCTGATTACATGAGGGAGAAAACACTGAGGGGAGCAGGAGCTGGACGCACCAGAAGAGGAGACAAACACAAGTGAACACAATCCTCAGAGATCCATGAGTGTACGTTCCAGACTGGTAAAGTTCAGGTGTTTTGATCCTCCTGCTGCCCTTGGGTCAAAATGGGCCCTGAAGCTTCAAGGTCAAAAAATGGAGGTCGTGTAGGTCATTTTGACCCAAGGGCAGCATGAGGACTTAAACTGAAAATCAGACCAAGATGCTTCTCTGTAAAAAAAAAAAAGTTCAATCAAATATTTATGGTTTGTATGAAGCCAAGCTGAAGAAATATTCTCAAATAAAACAGTTTAATCCACCCATCAACTTTTACTCACTTCTTCCTATTAGGGTCATGGGGACCATTGGTGCCCATGTCCAGCTATCACTGTGCAAGAGGTGGGGGACATCTGGACATGTCTCGAGTCCATCACAGGGACACATGGAGACAAACGAGACAAACATTCACTCTCTCTCTCACCAAGGGACAATTTAGAGTTACCAATCAGTCTAACATACATGTTTTTGGTCTGTGGGAGGAAACCGGAGTATCCAGAGAAAATCCACACAGCACAGAGAGAACATGCAAACTCCACCCAGAAAGGCCCCCAGGCTGGGATTTGACCCGACAACCTTCTCGCTGAGAGGCAACAGACCTGCGCCACCGTGCTGCCCTATTGGTTTAATCCTTCAGTTAACTGTTTTTCAAGGAGCAGGGTTTGGTCTGGAAGAATTTGACGTGAAGCAGCAGCTGGTTGAAGGAAAGATGTCTGAGCTCAAACAGGAATAATTCAGGCTGCAGCACCGACGGCGTCTCTAAAGCTGCAATATCCGGCTGCAAAGACTCTTCAGAGCCTCCAATAAAGTCCAGTGCTTTCTATTCTTCCTGAGAACTGAAGGAGGGATTGTGCAGAAACGTTCAGGTGGGTTTTCTTCAGAGCACAGAACATCTTTCATGAGGATGCATAATAAAACTGCTGACGTCTTTTGGTTGTAAATGTGGGAATCGCTGCAGCAGCTGTTTGCTTTAAAGCCTCCTGGATGTGGGACGATGGCTGAAGCTGCAGCTTCAACATGAATCTGAGTTATGAATCCAAACAAACTCTGTTCTGAGAACAAACATGTGGACATGTGGACACAGCAGAGCCTCGGGAAAAATACAGAAGTCTGCCGTTCACAAACTTCTTAAAACAGCTGATAAATGCATCCCTTAAACATTTACAGCAGAGAAATAAAAGGTTAAACTTCGAAAGAATAATGACTTATTCTCAAATGTAATAAAACATCCTGACAAAAGAAGTTTAAAATATAAAAAAATATGAGTGGAACGGAAATTAAAATTAAAATTCATCCTCACATTTTAAAGAAGATCCAAAACATTTCCTTCTTTGTGTGGAACTTTCAGACCGTAAAAAATTAATAAAATATAAAAAACTTTTTATTTTTGTCACTTCATCTGATGAATGAATGAACGAATGAACGAACGAATGAATGAACGAATGAATGAACGAATGAATGAATGAATGAATGAATGAACGAATGAATGAACAAATGAATGAACGAATGAATGAAGAACGAATGAACGAATGAATGAATGAACGAATGAATGAATGAACGAATGAATGAACGAATGAATGAACGAATGAATGAATGAATGAACGAATGAATGAACGAATGAACGAATGAATGAACGAATGAATGAACAAATGAATGAACGAATGAATGAAGAACGAATGAACGAACGAACGAATGAACGAATGAATGAACGAATGAATGAACGAATGAATGAATGTATGAATGAATGAATGAACAAATGAATGAACGAATGAATGAAGAACGAATGAACGAATGAATGAATGAACGAATGAATGAACGAATGAATGAATGTATGAATGTATGAATGAATGAACGAATGAACGAATGAATGAATGAATGAACGAATGAATGAACGAATGAATGAATGAATGAATGAACGAATGAATGAATGAATGAATGAATGAACAAATGAATGAACGAATGAATGAATGAATGAATGAATGAATGAATGAATGAACGAATGAACAAATGAATGAAGAACGAATGAACGAATGAATGAATGAACGAATGAATGAACGAACGAATGAATGAACGAATGAATGAACGAATGAATGAACGAATGAATGAATGAACGAATGAATGAACGAATGAATGAATGAATGAATGAATGAATGAACGAATGAATGAATGAATGAACGAATGAATGAATGAATGAATGTATGAATGAATGGGTTTTCATATTTGTTTGATTCTCCTCATATCTGGGGGGTTTGCTGCAAACAGAACCCTGACATGTGGATTTGGACCGGAGGCGGGTTCTGCCTGCAGGTGTCGCTGTCCGGCTGTAAACACGGACCGTGCACGCACGTGCACAGCACATGCCTCGAGCCGAACTGTTTACAGATTTCTTCAGATATCCGGGAAAACTTTAGGAAACGTTTTATTTCGTCAATCTTCTCAAAAAAACTTTGCTTTGATGAATTTCCTAACTATACACATAGTTCTGTGCGCGCGCGTGCGTGTGTGTGTGTGTGTGGTGGGGGGAGTGGCAGTGACAGGAGGATGTTCCTGCAGGAGCAGCGGCGGCTGCAGAAGATCCTGTGGTGTGAGGTCTCAGGACTGGAGCTCTGAAGGCAGCAGGACTCAGGTGAGACCTTCTCTGGGTCTTTCTGCTCACAGCTTGTCCCACAGGAACCCCAGACTCCTCCGGCTGCGGGTTGTTTTGTCAAACTAAAAGTGGCTGTGCTCAGATTGATTTCAGTGAAGTGAAGGGAGGGTTTCTTCAGAGCTCTCCAGCTGCTGATCATGTTTTACTCTCATCAAGTCTGAACCTCTGTAAGTGGAGCCTGAACTCTTCCTCCTTGTGTTGTTTACTCAGGACATCATCATCATCTTCAGCTTCAGTGATCTGGACCTGGACAGGAGAAGACATGAGCAGCAACAAAAAGTAAGTGAAGGTGGATTTTGGACTTAGATTTACATGAGATTAAAGCTGGATTAAACTTCTGTCACTGTCACGAATTATGAACATTTTATTTTATTGTGTTTTTGGGGCAACAAAAAATATTACATTAGAGGTTTTTTTTTTAATAACAGCCTTTATAAATACATTTACACTCAAATCTATATGACCAAAAATGAAGTGATTGTGGAGGTTCTGATGAAAATCTGATGATTTTCCTTCCCGGCCTCTTGTGGTTCTCTGTAACTCTTCACCTGATGTCTGGAGTTCAGTCTGGGTCCAGAGTCCCAAACAGAACCACAGTCCATGCTACAGATTATTGTTGGGTCGACCAGAACACTCTGAACGTTATCTGCAAAGCAAAAGGCCGACAGCATCTACTGTACGACAAGTGCAAAGTAACAGACTGTCGGCTTCTGATTGGTTGGAATAAAGTTGGTTTATGGCTCAACGATTAATCATCAATTTGTTCTGCGTCTAAACTGCTCATTAAAAAGAAAAAGCCAATCCTGTTCCCCGTCTTTAAAATGTCGACGCCAGGCGAGCTTTTGATTTTGCAGCCGTGCAGTCGTGCTGTTGCACGAGGAGCAGAAGAAGAAAAAGAAAAGCAACCAGAGTCTGTTTCAGATGTTTGCACGAAGCTTTTCGACAACCTTTAAAAAGTCTCAAAGATGTTCTCGTGACTAAAACCACAGTTTGACTTTTGACTTGACTCAGCTGATAAACCTGAAACTGGTTTTTATTTGAGCTGATATTTTTCCAGAGGATGACTCAGTTGATCTGGTTCAACTCATACAGGTTTTTAAAAAACACGTTTATACTGACTCAGTGCAGTTTCAATCTAATTAAAGTTTATTTTTTTTATTGCTGAATGAAACTATTCTAAAACCTGAAGCCCTCAGCTTTATGTTGCAAATCTAAATCATCATAAAAACAACATGAATAAACTAATGACGTATGTTGAAGTTAAATTAAAAGTAAGTTGAAAATCTTGGAGTATTTTTGAGTTTTCTTCTTCTTGAAGTGAATGCACAGAAAGGTCAGGTATAAAATGTGGTCAGGGTTATCCCAGATGATCTCCTGCAGAGACTGTAAACATATACCGAATATCTCGGAGTGTTTCTCTCCTGGTTCTGCACTAAACTCGGTGCAGATGTGTCGGAGCTGCTCACGTCAGCCTGTTATGTCCAGCCTTGTTCCGTAGGTGGCATCCACAGAGCTGCTAAAGTTCAGCAGCCTTTAGTCAACGTCCGCTGGTCGTCCCGTTTCACTTCTCTGAACCAGATTATCTAAACCAGTTCTGGAGATTCTACTTTCACAAATGCATTCTAATTAGACACTAATTATTCTTCTTATGAGCACGACGGTAGAAAACAAACTATTTTAAAGTTTGAACTAAAAATGAGACTGGATTAAAGGTTCTGCAGGTAAAACGTCAGAAACAAAAATTAGAAGGCTTTGTCTGTTATCAGGCGCTGCTAATCCTCCGTCAACAATGTTTTTATTCCCTCTGCTCCCATTTAATCTGTCAGCAATATCTCTAACAAGGTTGAGTCCTCTCAGGACGGAGTCCACATTCATTTGTTTTTATCCAAAAGACTTCTTCAGTCTGAGGAACTGCGACAAACTCAGTCTTATAAATAGCACCTTCTCAAAGTGGATCAACCAGTTTGCTGCTGACATCCAGAACCAGCTGTTCACATGATCAAGGAGGACCATCAGCCCAACAATTGGTCGTTAGTGCCCTGATGGCTTCTTGCTATTCACAGGGGGCTGAGTGATACTAGCAATCACAGCATTGTAAGAGGGGGACAGTTGAACACGGAGGCTCCGCCCCTGTTTAATGATGGACGATTTCTGAAAGAGTGACCTCTGGCCTGGAGATGAGTGTAGACCTCAGAGTCCTGGCCTGATGATGTTGCTCTTCTGTGCTGGTCCATCCTTTAGGCCAGTGGCTGTTTAGACTGATGTAAAACTGATCACCCTCCTGACACTGAACAACATACACAATATTACTCTGTTTGTGTCCGGGGACTGGATCTTTGGGATGAACCGGTCTTTGCCGCGATGCATTTTGGGGTTTTAATGTATTCGGGTCAGTCATCAGGACTCTGGACCACAGAGCAAACAGCGTCCCCACTAACTGCAGAAGAAGAAATCCCACACAAGACAGGCTCTAGAGCACATATGTCAAACTCAAGGCCCGGGGACCAAATGTGGCCCTTGTTGACATCTTATCTGGCCCCCAAGATGATATGTGAAATGTAAAATACCTTTTTCACATGAATTTTTTTCAGTAATCTTTGATTATGATGTCAAAAGTTCAACAGAAAATGTCAAATGAGACCAATAAAACTATTTTTTGAGGAACCTGCAACCAAGAAAAGATGTTGGGTATCTAACTTGAGTTAATGTAGATTCTGAAACCCGCCCTTAGTTTGAAAAAGGTTTTCATGTTGGCCCCCTTTTGTAAGTGGGTTTGACACCCCTGGTCTAGAGCAATGTGGATATCCTAACTGAGCCTTCCTGAAAGAACAGAAGAAACCCAAACAGGACTCCAGTCAGCCATCGAGGAACCCAGACCCAGACCAGTGGTCATTCCATATGTTGTTCAGAGAAACTAAGACATTTATTTTCTAAACATAACGTCCCAGTGGCTTTTAAACCCCAAAATACATTAAAGACTGGTTCATCCCAAAGATCCAGTCCCCCGGCAGGAAGGTGTCAGTGTCAGGAGGGTGATCAGTCTTACATGGGGGAAACAAAACAGCCACTGGCCAAAAGGATGGACCAGCACAGAAGATCAACATCATCAGGCCAGGACTCTGCGGTCTACACTCATCTCCAGGTCAGAGGTCACTCTTTCAGGGATGAAGATGTTCACATCCTGGACAGAGAAGAACGATGGTTTGAGAGAGGAGTAAAGGAGGCCATCTTTGTGAAAAGAAACCGTCCATCATTAAACAGGGGCGGAGCCTCCGGGTTTAACTGTCCCCCTCTTACAATGCTGTGATTGCTAGTATCACTCAGCCCTCTGTGAACAGTAAACAGCCATCAGTGTGCTAATGATCCATTGTTATGCTGATGGTCCTCCTTTTACATATGAACAGCTAGTTCTGGATGTCAACAGTAAACTGGTTGATCCACCATGAGAAGGTGCTATTTAAGAGACTGAGTTTGTTGCAGCTCCTCTGACTGAAGGAGTCTTTTGGATAAAAGACTAAACTTTTTATCAAAGATGAATCTGTCCAGAGGAACTGACTCAACCTGGTAAGATTTATCCACCTGGATTATAGCACGCGTCAGGACACTGTCAACAATATGTTTGTATTCCCTCTGCTCCCATATAATCTGTCAACAATGTTTTAGCTCCGTGCAGTCATTGACTCGACGATGAACTTCAATGCTGGTGTTGATTTTTGTACAAGATGATAGATGATGATAGAAGATGTACAGAGTCAGACTCAGAAAACAGTTTTGGTGTTTTCTTGTGTTGTGTTTGTCAGATGCTGAAAAGAAACAGAGGATGTTCTTATTAGTTTTCCTGATATATCGTACGTTGAGAAACAAGGAAGTTGTAACCATGTTGGTTAAACCTTGAAAATAATGGTAGGACGACTCCCAACAACTACCACATCAGATCTGAGCAGAGTTTATATACAGACAGAGTTAGAGCCATGCGCAGTTAGTTATGGCTGATTAGCTGTGGTGATCTTGAAGATGACTGACTCCAAAACTTAATCAGTTGTAAATTTACATCCAGCGATTACCTTCAACGAGTTTTAATAGTATTTGTCCAGTTGTTCATGAGATGTTTTGATAAGGACACACATGCACACTCAGACAAACATTAGCCACGTTCACTCTTTGGCAGTGGCTGACAAAAACTAACCTCTAGAATGAAAGAAATGAGAACTTGAAAGATAAATTCACTAAGTGGTGCTAAATCCAGTAAATGTTCAGTAACGTCTTCATCTCAAAACGTGACAAACACAATGAAACATTTCAGTTCTTCCTCACGTCAATGTTTGTTGGGAAACAGCACGGCTAGTTTGACATGAGGATGAACGAATGCAGCAGAGGCCCCACACACCGGCCTCTTACAGACCTGTGTGTGTGTGTGTCGTCACGTAAGTAAATCTGGCGTAATCCTGTAAGGACGGATGAGTAGACAGACATGTGGTGCAGCACTCGCTTCATAGGGGGAGTGTGTCGGAGATGGTGGCAGCTGGCACTATCAGCCAGATGGACAGGCTTTGTGGTGTGTAAGGAAATGTAACTGATCAGACACAACCTCCTGGATTTCTATTTGATGTTTTCTTTTTCTGGCCACTCAGTCTCTTAACTTAAACTCTGAGCGAAGGTGGAGATTTTGTTGGGCTGATGTCTCATTTGAACCAGCACAAGTTGTTCTGTCCATCACAGTCAATTACCAGACTTCCTGTCCTCTCCGTCACCCTCCTGTTCCAGATTAAAGCCCTGACATTATTCCTTCCTACCGCCTGCGCACTCAGCCTTCCTCAAGGACGACGCACATTCTTACAAGCAGGCTTGTTTACTCGCTGGACACCACTGCTTTTAGATGTGTCTTGTGGACTTTTAGTGTTGTCTATCAACGAGTCTTTAATGGGTAGAGATGAGCGCCACCAGTAACACCAGACTGAGCCCCAGTCCCAATTTACTGCAGGTGAACGAGCCAAAGCGCTATGGCTCCACGCTGTCGTTGGAGGAGAAGTGTGAACAGTCTTTTTTCCTCTTCTACTACTACAGGATGGAGGATGAGGCCGTGTTGGATCGTGGGGCGTCCTTACTCAAGCACATTTGTGATGAAGAGGAGGTCGAGGGTAAGATATTTTCCTCATTTGATCTGTTCTTGTGTGCTTTAGTTTTTTCCTTTTGTGTCCAAAAGTTGGTATTTTTTAATCTTCTATATACAACAGAACACAATGCCATGCTGTACAATACAACATCATGCAACGTTAAACTACGTGAAGCATTAGGGCATAATACATTACGATACGGTCATAAGAATACAATACAATAAAGCACAACACAATACGACACTATATAATACAATACAAAGAAGTGCATTGCAGGGCAATACAATGTGATATAATTAATTGATTTTCATTATGACAGGATATAATGCATTGTAATGTAATATGATGCAATGCAGTTTAGTACAATTTCATGTGATATGATACGGTCCAATACAGTATAATGTAATACAACACAATGCGAGTTAGAATGCAGTACGATACATTTCATTGCAATGTGATGCACGACATTTTACTGTCCCCTTACAGACATTTTTTGGTCTTTACAAAACGCTATAGTAAATAAACTACCAAAACTATTTCCCTTTTGTTTTTGGTCCATGTGTGAGCATCTCGTGAGCGGCCCCGTTGTTTACAGCAGGGAGCAGCTGGTAAATTTCCGTATACTGCAGTTCTAATAAACCATGGGCTACCTGGATATTATTGGTAGCCGTTGCCATGGTGAGCTCTTGTAGATCAGTACTCCTTGAAATAGTGTTAATATTGGCAATATTCCAATATTGGTTTTCTCAACCACCCAAACCACAATGAAGTTGTTTTTAAATGGTAAGATTCCAATTTAAAGAGATACTAAGAAGACCGCAGGAAGATGAACTGTTTTATTTCCTCAATAACGTAAGTGGCTTCTAATTGTTTATTCATTTCTTAATCTTTGTTTAACTTGGCAAATTCCACTGAGGTCACCAATCTCTTTTGCCAGGGAGGCCTGGGACTGAAGGCAGCCTGACATGCATTGCACATGCTTTCCAGTAGTCTCCTTGTAGACACATGCATGACAGAAAGCTCCTATCTTCACATCACTGAACCATGGTGTCTGTTGCCAAACAAGGGCAAAAGCTTTCCTGCCACAGCTAAATCAAAGCACACTGTATGTCTGACCAACTTTTCTTCAGGTCTTCTGGTTCTGCCTTGTCCTTCAAAAAGCAAAGGCTTAATTTCTTGAAACGCTTGGAACTAATCTCTTGTTGGTTTTCATTAGCATAGTCCTCTGTGCTAGCTGTTGCTGTTAGTGGAAGATACTTCTTGAATTCAATGTGCTGTGAGCGTTGTCCCACAGCCCTATGGTCCTTCTTCAAATAAGTCAAAGTTGTCCCAGCAGAAACTGATCACAACATTGTTTTATGTGGACACAGTGGGCAGGTGACGTCTTGTTGTTCCACTGTATGCAGCTGACTTTCTCCAGTTCTAACCATGTTTTATAGACAACTGTATGGCTAGATCTGTTCATTAGTGTCACCAGCTTAGCACTTCCAGTTAGGTGCCGGATAATTAGTAGGTGTCTGAACATTGTCCAATTGCCTCGTCACTACAAAACACAGGTCTTGAGTGATAGACATAATCGGATATTTGTGTCAACATGAGACACATTGTTTGGCCTTTTGAGAGAGGTGCTTACATGTTTTATAAGATGGGTTATAGTATTGTTCTGTTTCCTCAAAGAGGAACTGAAGGGAACGCTCTTTAAGCATGAACAACTTTTCAACATTTGATCAATTTATGATGCTTGTTGTGACATAATCACATAAATGGTTGAATGCTTTCTTATGAGCCTTTTGCTCTGAAACCATGTCATTTAATTCAAGTCTCTGATGCCTATCTGGACATAAAGTCTTTTAACAAGTTTCATGGTAGTATGAGCATACGAGCCACCAGATCAGCACCATTTACTTAGATGAACATAGCTTGATCTTGCTTTCTTGTAGCAGCATTCTTTATGCTTTCTTCTGCGTCAGCAACTACAGACAGGTGACATTACCAGCCCACATGATGAAGACTGTAGAGTGGCTGGTTCTTGCCTCATCTTTGTTCCCTGTTGAGCAAAGCCATGGATCCATTCCAGTTAGCATACTAGCCAAGGACTGGGGTGGTGATGCTGTCATCTACCTCCAGCATTGAGTCCTCTCTCGCCTGGGAGCACTGCAAGGACCATGTTCTTTGATTTCTTCAGTGCTTTCAACACCATCTTGCCTGCACTTCTGAGAGACAAGCTGGAGACCATTGACGTGGACCTTTGATTCTGAATGTTGGACTACCTCACAGAGTATCCACAGTATGTGAGAACTGTTTCAGGGGATGTATTCAGCAGTACCAAAGCCCCACAATGAACAGTTCTGGCCCTGTTTCTGTTCACTATGTTCACTGCAGATTTCAGATACAACTCTCCAGCATGTCACCTGCAGAAGTTCTCTGACAACCTGTTTATCAATGGCCTCATCATGGATGAGGATGAAAGGGAGTACAGTGGATGGACACAAGACTTCCTGAGCCAGTGTCAGCCTTTCTGTGTCTGCTCAGGAGGCTTCTTTGGAGTCCAGGGGGAATTCATGATGACCTTCTATTGTTGACCACTATTATAATGGCTTCAGCTATCTTCTATGGTTTGGTGTGCTGAACTGGGGGCATTATGGCAGCTGTTAGAAGAAGATTGGACAAACTGATCAGGAAGGCCAGTTTTCTTCTGGGGTGTTCTATGGACTCAGGGTGGTCAGAGAGAGGAGGATGAGGGCCAAATGCTCATCTACTATTTGTTGGTGAATGACTCCCACCCCCTGAAAGGTTCTCTGAAGGCACTGGAGAGCTCCTTCAGCAAGAGACTGCTCCACCCAAGGTGCATGAAGAAGCTGTGTTGGAGACAGCACAACCAACAGAACTCACCATGCTGCTTTTATTCTTTCTGATCAGGTTTTATTTTGTCAGCAAACTGAAAACAAAACAGTATTTTTAGTTGATTCTGATGGTTTATGTCGGCCTGACAGAGTTTTAACTGGCTCTTTAGAGGGTTTTCAGACATCAGTATTCTGTACGGGCTCTGTGCCCCGGTCCCAGCTGCGTTGTTTCCAGGGTATCTGGCTGCAGCATTGCCCCTGCTCAGAAATCCTGTGAAGTAACAAGAAAACAGACCTCTTTAATTTTATTCAGTGTGTGCACACAGGCTTCAGCTTCAAAAAGACTTCTACCCCCAAAGAAGGAAGTTGTTTCACAAAGCTGCCCTGTCAGCATGCAAATCTTCCTTTCTCGGCCCTGACGTTCATATATTTCATTGCTTATTTCTATCACTCTTCTTCATTCTATCTTTTCCTTTCTCATCATTCAGTCCATACAAACATGCACACCTTCATTACTGTGCTTTTATTCTCTTTTTTTTTTACCACTGGAACATCGGCCCACTTGTGTTCAGAGGGTTAGGCAAACTCTTTTTTACACTCCTTTCACTCCGAGTACCTGACCTGATTGGATGGATGGCAGAAATGTGACTTTTTAAACTTCCCAACTGCGGACTCTCGATGTTTGTCTAATGTGATGGGCCACTGGTGTGAGTGAATTTTGATGAACCCACAAAGAAAAACAAAACTGAAAACAAAGCGTTGTCTCTGAAGTGAATAAAGCCTGGCATTGTGGTTTTACTGAGAACATTGTTGGTTGTGTTCAGGGGTTCCGTCACTTCCTGGTTGGGTCACGTGCAACGCTTGGCTCAGCTGATCCAAAAAGAGACTTATGTCACTGATAAGACATCTGTTCAGGAGCACAGGTGATATTTGCTTCATTCATAAAGAACACACAACTTACTGCAGCCGTTTTACCATTTTATAGGGAAGTGAAGTCTGAGATTGTCATCATTTTGTGTTCCCATACATATTAGTTCCCTACATTTAACCCATCACACGTGAGTTGATGGTTGAGAAACTCCACACTGTGAAAATCTCCAGGTCTTTCAGTGACAAAACTTTCTTATTCTTCTTTTAGTTTCCGGGGATCTAAATCACAATTTGGTATGCAACCTTGATTTTGGTGTGACACAAGTTCACAACAGGAAAAACAACAAATGTCTCTTGTTAGTTTAAAAATGTAATTATTAACACTCCAAGAAGCAGAGACAGAAAAACAAAGCACACTTCTTAATTGGGAGGCTCTAAAGGGCCCGGCATACTCCATCCAACGCCAAACAGTCGACCGGCGGTCACGGGGCGTTTGTTTTCACACACACCTTTCATAGTCCACCGGACACAGGTGTAAGCTCCTGGGAAACCCCTCCCACTGCAGTATACGTCACCACACGGTTTCTTCCCACCGGAGTCTCCACTCTGTCCCTGCATCTTTCGTTTGGCCACAAATCTATGATGAAGAGAGCGCCACACTTTTCAGCAGACAGTATGTCTGCACGATCTCCAGCCAGGAGTTTTTGGCCATTTGACTAATTTATTGTGTTTGAAGAGTCGTACATCTGAATGTCCGAGTGCATTTCTGCATTCCACAAACCTCGGACCAATCACACAACACATGGCGCATACACCTGTGAGAAAAATGTTGGCCTTTTGTCAAGAAAGGGCAGGTGAAGCTGCTCTGAAAATAAAATCAGACAATTTTCACCACAACAATGAGAGTCGATATCGACACTTCGGATGGAGTATGCAGAGCCCTTAAGGTTGCAGGCCGCACAGTCAGACAGGATTCTCAATGTAACGTAAAATAAATAAATGAATACAGTAAAACATTGTGTCGCATCATTTTACTCGTCTAGTATGACAAGTAAACAATGTCCTCCAGGTCATATGTCAGACATCATGTTTAATATGCTCCAGGACTGAAATATTTTAATTTTGTTTAGAAAACAGAACAACAACAAAAAAACTTGCTTATTTTCAAGTCAAGTCAAGTCGGATTTATTTATAGAGCACATTTATTATTTTGGTTAATTTGTTCTAAAACAGATGCAAAATAATAATAATAATAATCGTTTTATTTAAAAAGTGCCTTTCAGGACACCCAAGGACACTTTACAGTAAGAA